TCTCGAAATCTATGTTGATTATCCGACCATCAGGGTCCCGGTCAGGAACTTCTTTGTTGAATTCCTAATCTTTATCATCTTGTGGGCTATACTTAGTTTTACTACATCCCCCTCACTTTTTTATACTGAAACATCCTTTCATTTCTATGCTTAAAACGCATATCCAGTTTGAGTCATTCTTCCATTATACCTCATTCGACGTGTCCATGCTTGTGGATCATGGCTTGTTGACATTGGACTTCAAAACTACGAGTTTGTGCAATACTTGGCACTTTTTTGAATTTCCGGTGAATTGTTGTTCACGTATTGCCTCCATTTATACCATGAACACTGAGAATTTGACATACTCTGTTGCATGAAGTTTACTTGGAAAGGCCATACTTGGCATCTACCTTTGACTGACTTTCTCGACCTTTCGTACGCAATCAGCTTGCAGTATGCTGTCACAGGAATTGAGTGAGTATCAAAGCAAACTCTCAAATCCAATGGAGACTGGCCATAGGTAACCTGAATATTCTTGAACGGCAGCCAAGACAACCAAGAAAAATGGGCAATCTCAGTGGAGTTTTGTACGCCATGCTTTACGCTAACAACACACAATGTTTTACGTAACTCATCAATTTACTGTGAGGCACGTTCACCTTAGTGATACACAATATATCGATATAAAATAAAGTGCAAAGGAAGTGGCATAAATCGTAGTAGCTTTTGGTGACTTTGTAGAAAAAAAACAGACTTCACACCTGCACACCATGAACTGAAGTTGATATTTTCACTTGATTTGTTTATGGCTACATTTCGTAAGCATTTCGCCTAGTCTCCAGTGTAATGCAAAATGACGTTCAAACGAGAAAGCAGCTGAAAGAATTTCGCTTTCGCTTTAAGGTGTGGGAAAAAGCACTAAGGACAATGCCGTTTCCGTGTAGATCAAATGCCTCGGTGATTTAAAGTGGTGAGGCATTTCAGAGCGAAATCGGTTGTTCTTTGAGGCACACTTATTTTAACGCGGGACATACATATGTGTATATATATCATATATACATATATATGCCATATATGTACACGTATATATATATATATATATACCGTGTACATATATACCATTCAAGCAATGCACCCAAAGAACCTAGGGGGTAGGATCGCGGACTATCAGTCTTGAGGACCCGTGTTTAAACTCCAGAAAGAAGTCTTCAAATTGGCTTCCGGCCCCGTCCTGATATCCTGTACACATGTCGATTCAGACAGGACATCTCTGAAGGGCAACCTTTCAAACAGTGGTATGTACAAAACCCATTGGATTTTTAGGCTGGCTGACAGTTTCCCAAGATATTGTCCTCATTATCCAAAAACCCTGCATGAGTGTCAAGGAAATCTCTAATCTAAAGAAATACAAGCAAAGGGTCGGCAGGAATTGAATTTGTTCAGTGAATAATGACAGAACCATACATTAATGGCGCATTAATTTTTCTCATGTTTCTCTATAGTCCAAACAAACAACCCTACACAGACTGATTGTCAAGTGCACTCTTGGGGTGTGTGCGTGAGGATCGAGTATACATGTCCTCAGGTTATCGTCAAACCAGTCATTGTATTTCTGGAAGGAAAGCGTTTTATTCGTATGGTTCTTTCTAAACCTACCTCGAAGCGTCTATTCTCTTGAAGGCTGCCTTATCCTCCCACTAGTGTGAACAGTGCTATTGGGCATGTTGTTGTGTGTAAACTGTCGCCACGATGGCAGCTCAATCCTACTCACCAAAGTATACAGTTTTCTCAAACTGAACATTGGGTGACAAACCATATTTTCCGGTTGAACTCTTCCCCATTCCTCTGCTGGCAACATTTTGCTATCAGTAATACCTATTGTTCCCCAAAGTTTCATTTACTCTACACACTGTCAGGCGCATCCCATTCCGTTATCCCGATTGGCGTCTATACAGAAGTACCAGGCGATTTAATGGTGAAACATTCTACAAAAATGACGATTTGCCCTAATGATATATATTAACATGATAAAATTGGCGTCGTGGTAATAAAAAAGCATAATCACATGCCAAATATTTCAGTCTAGAGGCGACAATTCCACAAAGTAAGTTGATGTCCTCAAGACTTTAAATCATCTGACTAGCCTGATAGAGGCCTCATAATTTTCATGTGAAACTGGAGTGGCATCCACAAAAGTAAAACGCCATTCCAGTCGGCCAGTGAATACAGACTCAACAAGTTGCTTTCTTCTTCAAGTGGCGTGTTGATTATCTCTGACCCGTAGCACCCAAAGCAAGTGAGTGAACTCGATGAGGATTGGTGAATTTAAATGGCTCATAAGATTAGGAAAAGTCAGGAGAAAGTACCACCGTTCTGCAACAAAGTTCATTGAAATGTTTGTCTGGATTAACAAAAGTACGCCATCAACTCGATGACTACCACATCCTACTGTACTTCTGATACCTTGCTTTGAAAAAAAAAACATAAAAAACAAGTTACTCAGCTGTAACAAAATTTCCATGGCTAGCCATCAGGTCTTCTTAATGAAGGGCAAGGGGTGAGATAGTGCAAAGTTGCCCAAGCTCAGAGAAGAGCAGTCGAGATGTCGGGGAGAAATCGAACCAAGAACCTTCCGGACAGTAAGTTCGATCTTTAGTCACTGAGCTACCTCGAACTTGACTCCTTATTTTCTACCCTATCGATTTTTCTTAGTGCTGAATTTTGCGAACATGTGCATGCGACGTCGCGAAGGTACTTGTAATCCTGACCTACCACATAGTTGTTTTTACACCGAACTGAATTTTGAACAGTCCAACTCGAACTACTGACTAACCGGCTGTAGATGGTTGTAGAATGTGCGGAATTCACACTCACGCCACTCGTTTGAATAGTCTTTCCCCCGTCCTGTTGAGGTTATTCCAGCGAGTCCACAACATCACTTAAGTATGGACACTTGATCAGAAGTGATAATTTCCGTGAATCCACCGTGTATTGTTAGAGTCGTGGTAACATGCTCGTGTCGCATGTTAGATCCCTGGCATTGTCGTGGAAACGCATTGCTGCTGAGATCTATTAGGAGCGAAACTCTAGTCCAATGCTGCCCATCTTTGGTGTGGACTCACCGAAATAACCGGCACTGGCACAGGAAGAGGACCGATCCTCTTTCCCCCGTCCTGTTGAGGTTATTCCAGCGAGTCCACAACATCACTTAAGTATGGACACTTGATCAGAAGTGATAATTTCCGTGAATCCACCGTGTATTGTTAGAGTCGTGGTAACATGCTCGTGTCGCATGTTAGATCCCTGGCATTGTCGTGGAAACGTATTGCTGCTGAGATATATTAGGAGCGAAACTCTAGTCCAATGCTGCCCATCTTTGGTGTGGACTCACCGAAATAACCGGCACTGGCACAGGAAGAGGACCGCTTAAACTAGATTGATGTGAATGTAAATTGTACGCTAACCGGCCACAAAAGTCACATCAATAGTAATGAATAAAGTGGTTGAATCCATTGATAATGTCAGATAATTTTGTGCTATTTGAAGTCCTGGGCTATGTTTGGGGGCGGGAGAGACAGTGTGAAGGCCTCCTCAACAAGTTACACTGGTCTCTAGCATTGGTAACCTTTCTGTCTATTCCATTAGAATCCACAGTTACCTGAGCACTCTACAATAACCCCACGTGAACAAGAAGAGACAAGGTGTCTTCGTGTTTTCCTGCTGGCAGTCAATGAGACCACCATAAAACATCACATCCAACTGGGTGAACAAGGGTAGCGAAATAGTCTGCTTCAGTATTGCTTGATCATACACTTCCTCTCCAACCTCCTAGATGACCACCAGGGGCAGTTTGGATACCAGATTGACTGTCTCATCCGCGACATGTTGGACTGTTTAATTCACTCGATATTTTGAAGGAGTTTGACGGTGTCTGTAAGGTTTGTAGTTCACCTGGATCCGATTGACCAGAATTTTTCGAGCGGTCGTTCTATTCAATCACGCCTTGTCAGCGATGCCTCCCGGAGCCACACAAAAACGAAGCAGTTCCACATGGGGCTGTTGTATCTCCAGTCCTTCTCCCAAGAACCATCGAAAGCCACTCGTCTAGCCCGGTATTCACGCCTACATAAACGAAACCACTCCACACATTTACATTTCCTAGCTCCCCCAACGTTCTGTCACGTGTAAAGAATGCGCGCGAGCTATCACAGCGCCGTAAACGGAGCTCATCAAGACATTCCACTAGAAACACTGCTCCACATTTCATAGTCCACCTCCTGTGACCAACAAACTACATCAGCCAACCTCTGTTTCGACGCACTCCTGTTTGTCCATCTTATATAAACTGGCGCTACCCAATAACCACTGTTGGGAACATCGAACTTCTCATCACTCCCGTTTCTGGTTGGGTTTTCTATTTTGAGCACGCAACCAATCAATCTCCGCTATTCTATTGATCCTAAAGTTGACCTAACTGCTGTTCCTCTTCGAAACAGAGATTCTTTAGTGCCCCTCCTCCTCAGTTCTCTTCAATGACTAATGACTAAGCCTGTAAGAACTCTAGTGGCACCCATGCATATAAATTCTTCCCCTAGTTTATCGCCACTTCTACGAGAGCTGTTCGAAGAATCCATTCTTTTCCAATACACCTCAGTTTTTAGCCCTGAAAGATGGCCTCTCAGGCCTAGCTATTCATTACAAGCCTTGGTACCCCATTGAGGAAATATGGCTCTCCCCGCTCTTTCTGAGAACGGCACAGAACTCCATCTCACCGTCCGTCCTCTCTGAATCCAACAACTCCCAGCTTACCAAACACCCAGTCGGTATGCGTTACTTGGTTTAACTTTGGCTTTTTTCAATTGTGACTTGCGTACTCAGTGTAGCCCACCATTTCCGACAGCCCCTAACCATGTGTTTACTTCCCTCTACAGCCATTTTTACAGGCTGCAGGAAGTAATTTCTATTTAAACCTGAATATGTCACTAAACTTAAAAAGGGATAACCAGAGTTACACTTACCTCATAGTCATCATACTGTGATCCTGACGGTCTTGAACAGGAATTGCCCTCCGGAAAGCCAGCGGTCGATTGCATACCAAGGGACGCATCACTGGAACGATTCGAATAGTTTCCACTATCTGTCAGTCCTGAAATTCGATGCGTCTGTGTGTTCAACAGAGAATGGGTGCATGGTGACTGAAATGAAGTGTTCAAATCGGCCGTCTGCATTGATAATCCGACAGCCTCGGATGAGTTTGCAGTTTTATTCACATTGACGGACAACCACTCGGTTGGATCGTCATACACGTCATTTTCGCTGTCTTGATTTTTTCGCTGAAAATATAAATAATTGAGTGACGATGAATAAACGGAGCACAGAAGGATGTTCAATTGTCCTTGTGTTACCAAGCGATTTCACTAAATCTCGGATGAGGCAACACGCCGCACCGAATCAGAGCTAGTGAGACTGACCAGTGCATCCAAAGTCATCCAATGGCCACTCCAACCACCGGCCAAGCAACGGCTGGCCTGTACCACTGCTCATCACTATTGTGAGACATGTAGGCACACAAACCAGGCACGAATATTCCATATGCGACCACAATAGCAAAGATATGTGCGTAGGTCGGGTCTACGAAACGTGTGCCAATTAGAAGCCAACTCCGACCACGAACGTCCTCGACTCTCAACAGTATGCGTCATGCTAGCGGTTGAGAATTCAGGCCACATCTACATGACATGTCAGCACCTGATAATCGTGTTTGAAGGTGCGGGTTGGCTACAAACATGACAGGTAACTAAAGTCAAAGGAGTTCCAGGCAAGGTGTTATAATTATGTTTCGGTTAACGTGGCCAACCTTCTTCCGGGATTCCTACAATCAACTGAACACGAGTCAAGTGCAGCGTCCTTTGGGTCCGCTGTCACGTTGTATGTCTGGTGTGGTCCTGAGATCACTTGGCCGTCCGATGTGACCGGCATGTGTGGGTGTGTTAGCTCTGCGTGCGTGTACGCCTGATTGTGTGCGTCCGTTTGTTGTTTGGCTGGTTGTGATGAGTCATTGTTTGGCTGGCTGTGATGACCCATTGAGAGTCCTGATTCCTACTGTGCCTACTGGGGGGTGCAGTAAGTTCAAGCCAGATAGACGAGATGCTGGAGCCATCACTACGCTTAATGCAGTTCGGTTGTGATGATCTCCAATGCTTCAGCGGACGCCGATTATAGGGCTGTTTCGAGTCCTGCCTGGACTATACGTGTACCATCAAAGTTGATCTGATGGTTTGACATAAATTCGTGCTGAATCCCGTTCTTTTTTTTAACTCGAGTGGATTTCGTGAAAGAAAATGCACGTGTCGTTTGTGATCCGTGACTCTCACATGGGGTCGCCTTGCTGTCTGACCAATGTATTTGGACGAGCATTCTGCACAGGGGAGTCGATGGCCGCAATTTGCGCGGTGTTTCGGTTCGATAGGGGCCTCAGTCCACTTCTTATTCTTATCCTCTGTTGATATTATTATTGAAATGTGTTTCTTGGCAAAACTCACCAACGATCCGACAGCTGCGCGTTTGACGTAGTGTAGATGCGAAAACTCTTAATACAAGTACCTGTGTGAATATGTGGGTTTCGGGTGGATTCCCTCTGAGAGCCCATGCCTGGTGTTATCACGTAGCTTGCAGTCTAGGAAGCTAATAATTCTCTGTACACCCTCAGTTCCTAGTGTCAATTTTATACTGCTGCATTGTTCGTTCCAACACTTTAGGCAGGCTTGTCATTGTATGGTTGATATCACAAATATCTCGTGAACCTACCTCAGTCAGGTGCGTGCCGGAGGGGTATTCACGTTAGGCCTCAGCTCCAACCTGGTACAAGGGTTACCACGGCGACACCATCAGTTTGTCTGTAGCAAGCGTTTCGAGAGGTGAAATAAATAAGGTTTAGACACAGTTCAACGCCAATACTAATATCAGCAGGGGATGAGGTTATTCTCTGTAGCTTTGAAGTGGGCTGGAGAGGACGTTTGTTCAAGCCATCAGATCAACTTTGATGGTACACGTATAGTCCAGGCAGGACTCGAAACAGCCCTATAATCGGCGTCCGCTGAAGCATTGGAGATCATCACAACCGAACTGCATTAAGCGTAGTGATGGCTCCAGCATCTCGTCTATCTGGCTTGGACTTACTGCACACCCCAGTAGGCACAGTAGGAATCAGCACTCTCAACAATGACTCATCACAACCAGCCAAACAACAAACGGACGCACACAATCAGGCGTACACGCACGCAGAGCTAACACACCCACACATGCCGGTCACATCGGACGGCCAAGTGATCTCAGGACCACACCAGACATACAACGTGACAGCGGACCCAAAGGACGCTGCACTTGACTCGTGTTCAGTTGATTGTAGGAATCCCGGAAGAAGGTTGGCCACGGTAACCGAAACTCCACCAAGCTGCCTTGACGTTAAAACTCAGTAAAAGACAACCATAAACACAAAGTGCACCGCCACACAGTAGTAATGAGCCTACTTTGGATAAAAGGAGAACAGGTTTGTGCATGCGCGTTATGTAGCTAGACCACACAACAGGTCATCGCACTCGGAAGCTGTAGATAACCGCATAAATATTCCGTAGCGGTTGGTCTGTTCTGTTCTACCAAAATCAAGCAAATTATTGTGAAGTCAGCCGTCCAAATTCCTGGACACACTAGCCATACAGTTTTTCAGTAGGGAATACACAGCAGAGCTTTTCGATACTGCTGATGGAGTACTTTCAAGAACAAGAAGAGGGGAGTGATGGATTGCATACTGTCGAGCTGGGCTAATGGGTGAATCAGCGTTACTTAAGTCCTCTCCTGCCAATAACAGACACGAATAAACATCTTGGAATAAACGAGACACCGCATTCACATGAGAGTTGGAAGACTGGGTACCGAAATGGTTTAACCGATAGATTTGACCATATGAGGGATGATTAACAGGCATTGAATGACGCGCGAAAAAAAGACTGAGAAGCTTGCTTGAGGGCGATTGAGCAGTCGGAAAATGCCCGGTTGTTGCACCAAGCCCCATGCACAAATAACGCGACGAAAACTTCAATGTTATTAGACTATTGCATAGGCCAGTTCATTCAGGTGAAAAGAAAAACTGAAGCTAAAAACCACCATAAAATGCAGCCAACGTTATTAGGGATTTTATGTGATTCTCGGTCCAACTGGCAGGATAGCCCTATTACTGATAGGAAATCAACGACTCCCGCGATGGACCTGATAATCGGTAGGCCTTGAATTTGGAATTTCACAGGATACTTACGCTGAAGATTTGATCATATCTCGAAGTATCCAGTTGCACGATGCCTTTCGTCCTTGATGTGACGTAGAGGGCTTGAGGAGATTGTTCACGTGGTACCTTGGCACGCATTTTCAGAATATTTCACGTGCTCTTCAATGGATCTTGTTTTGGTGGACTTGTTTTTAGGTGTGGCTCTTGGAAGATCGCAGGCTAAAACTGGACAGTCTCTCTGCGTCCACTTCATGCATCCCAATAAGAAGCGAAAATCCCGTATGCTTGAAATTCTCTGTTTCTGGTCACATCATTAACTATGGTTGGGAAATCTCCTTACTCTTCAAAAAAGGAATTGTCTTGTCCATTGTTATGGGCTTTGTGAACACTTTGTAGACGTTGATCTTTTTGTCAATCTTTGAGTTTCTAGTAAGAGTTTTTCTAATTACATCCAATGGTTCAAGTTGATATGATCAGGATACCTCACAGCCACTGTTTCCCACTTGAGTGAGATGAGTATCACTTAGCAGCTAACTGTTGCACCAACAAAACAAAGTTTGCGGAGTGTTGACACTTCGGTTTTACTTTGTCAGCCTTGCCATTTGAAGAGCCCTTCCACATTCACGATGCATCAGGCATTAGCAGGAGCGGTATTTACATAAGGGTGTGGACCCAACAATAAGCAATTCAGAGTTCCTTATGATATGCACACCTAATTAATGTTATCCCTATGTGCAACCTAGGCGTTTACTGATCATTAGAAATTACTTAGTGTGCTGCTCTGTCGGTTTTAGATTTCCTCACTCACTCTAATTCAGCAGTAGAGCTGAAAGATCCCGAAAAAACACCTTGATGGAGCTTTACCGAATGACCCCATTTTCATATCGTGTGATGACGTTACTCGCTTATACTGCACTTGTAATTTTCAGTTTGAACTTTTTAATAATATCAAGCCGGGTGATTTCCTGACCGNATTTTCATATCGTGTGATGACGTTACTCGCTTATACTGCACTTGTAATTTTCAGTTTGAACTTTTTAATAATATCAAGCCGGGTAATTTCCTGACCGCTCTTCATCGATCGTTCTACGCGGCAACTTGGCTTTGTTTGTGAAGATAATGTTCGACCGTTGAGCCGAGTGTTCAGTTAGTGCTTGCCCTTGATTTCATTTCAGTGGGTATACAACACAGTCACGTACACATAAATGGTCCTAGAAGTATGGATGGGGCAAAAGACTTCCTTGAAACATCTACCGAAAAGGTGCTACTCATGGATGTGATGCATAATCCTGCATCCGCTCTCAAGCAAAGGGACCATCGCCAATGTTGCTGTTGTCACTAGGATATGCCAGGACTAGGACCCCAGGACCGTGGATGACAGTCCTCACTCTGCCTTCAGTACAACATGTGCTATAACATCATCTGTGGGGTTACAATTTCCGCATGCACTGTTTTACCGTCCTTCTTTAGATATCCATCGCTTGTTATTCCTCAGAGAAGCTTTCCTCCATCACAATGAACAATGTGTTTCAGAAGAACTATAGGTATGTTGTAGTGGCATCTTGTGTTTCGTTTAGAATATTCTCGCATTCTGCTGAATGTACTCTATCATCCGCGTTGTGGCCTTCACCAGTCGCTCTATACAAGTAATTACCGCACGATTGGTCCTATAAACGTACCGGATGGAAACATAAACATTCATTGTCTCACGAAGCTTAATATTCGAAGCGCAAAGAGTACTCATCTGAAAATGAGCGTGCAGATAAATGACGTTTTTCAGGCTACTGGAGCTGGACAGGAAACGGAGTTAGCAGTACACTGCTCATAAGGTTGCTGAAAATTCGTCGACAACCCACGACCGGTTTCGTCCTTCTTGGGGCTCACCAGGTAGGCGCAGTCCCCGAGTTTCCGTCAACCTTATGTTCTACTTGAAACCAGAAACAGAGTTTATTGGTTCCATGCATATTAACCACAGGACAACTTAAAATCAACATACGTATACGTTTTTGAACCTGAATCTGATGAAGTGAATCATGGGAACAGGTGTTGTCG